CTAACATTGAGTAAAAGCATTTTGCCAGAAGCGTGAAAATGGTGATTTGGGATATTTCTTATAATTATTCTACATGTCCTTTCTTTGCGCATAAGTATCGTAACTAGCCACATTTAAGTTACTTCATTCAATAGGTTCTTTTGAATGAGATTAAAAGAGGGGCTTTGGCCAATTTCTCCAAGGCTTCGTTTAAAGTTTATACATCTTTTTTGCGTATCTGTCATTGCGAGTCTAAAATATATAAATACAACACTTGAACTAATAAAGAAGATGGGTAGAAAATTGGTGTAAGTTTGTTTGTTGAATATAAGGTCGGGCTAATTTGGTTTTTATTTAACATAACTATTTTTTAAAATCCATCTACTGAAGTCAATACACATTAAAATAACCAATAAAATTGCAACATTGATTTTTTTTTTAATATTCAAGCCCTCTTTTACCAGACATCTCATGTTATTAAACAGAAAATCAAGTTGGTCTGGCCTAAACATCCATCCTACATAACCAGTGAAGAATTTTTTAAAAAAATTTTTTGTTCTTCAAGAACATAAATTTATAATTTTATGTTCTCAAAAAAAAATTTAATGTGCACTATAATAATTTTTTAAAAAATAATTTTTTAAAAAAAATTATAATAAATTTATTATTCGTGGAGTATCTAGCAAAGAATTTTAGCTTTTTGAGAACAATTTATATTATATTCTAAAAGAATTTTTGTTTTTAATAATAAATAATAATAAAAAAATTATTATTATTAATTTTATATATATCTTATGAGAATATAACTTATAAATTTTATGTTCTTAGTTTGTTCTCAAAAGAGAACATAATTTCTAAATGCAGTGTTCTTAAATTTTTTTTGAATGTTCTTGAGAACATTGAGAACATTAAATATTCTTCACTGTACATAACTTATACTATGTCCAAAGCTAATTTGCGCATGCACATGTATTGCTTCACTGACTCAGTGCACAATACGTATCAGCCAACAAATCTCATGTCTCATAATTTGTACATTTCACAGCTTTTTTCTTTGTGGCATCTTAGTTCTTTAATCACAAGATTTACGTCACAATTACAATTTAATTCAAAATGCCATTTTTAGCCCGTGACACTAAATAAACCGGGTTCTATTGCTTAATATTAACCATATTTATCACGTAATGTTGCTAACATCAGCAAATTTAATTTAAAATTCATGAAAATTATATAAAAGGAAATGGATATGCGATATCATTTTTTTTTTTTTGTGCTTGCAAATATAAATATTTGCAAAATATGATTATGAAAAACGTTTCATAATATAGTAATCTATTTGTCTAATTTTAGAATTTTCAGCCAAGGTTTTCCACTATAGTGAAACTGCTGAAATTTGGGGTCTCGATTTAAAAACATAAGCTCTGTTAAAACCCACCTATACTCCTTAAATATCAAATCTAACCTAAATCCTAACCAACCCTAAAAAAAAAAGCGAAAAAAACATTAAAAAATTCAAAATTTCATACAAAATAGGTCTAAATTTCAGTATCAGCCACGACACTTATTATAAAAGAAAAGCTTAGCATTTTGTAGCCTTTTTTTTTTTTAGCTAAGTTAAAACCAGCTGTGTATGAAAATATTAATATCTTTCTACTAGCTATCTTTCTGATATATTCGGTTATATTGGAAATTTTATATCTCTTTATCAAAATTAGAAGCCATTAGAGAAAATTAAAGATAAACGTTAAGAGCTTTGTTATAAAAAGCTTTTGATACTTTAATTCATATGTTTTCATTTCGTTCTAATAAAAAAAATTATATATCGAGTAGGTGAAAGTCACTAGATAGGACCTTTTTGTTAATCCCTAATAATGTACAGAATTTTGACTACAGTTTTAGCCATTGGTATTCAACATCACAGTCGTTATTTCTCAAAAGTTAGCTAAGTAATAATGCCAGGTGTTCTAAGTAAAAGTGGTCAACGCCCCCAAAAACTTTATATTAATCCTCTAATACTAACCCTTATCGTAACCTATAACAGCACCCTAACCTTAAATTATAGGAGAATTTACATATGAGAGCCCAAAAAATGAAAATAATTACAAATAAGAGCCCAAAGTGAAAACAATTACATATAAGACCAAAATTTTGAAAAATTTAACAATTAAGGGCCAAAAATAACTTTGCGTTATCATGATAGTGGCTCTTCGAACGTTATAACTATATATATAATGTATTCGGTTCTAAACTAATATGTTTATCCTGTCGTTATATCAAACTCGTGAATCAATATTTTGAAGGTTATTATGCATTAATCGAAGAGATTTAGAACCGAAGATGCTCAATTTTATTCGTAGATAAGTTAAAATACTTTTAAAATCAGAAAAAGAGGTTATAGTTTTTACATGTAAGGCGTTAAGAGAATAAATGCAATACTGATTAAAAGTATAGTTGTTAGACGAAACCATTTTTGCTTGATGACGAAAGTCGAAACCTGAGCCCTAAATAATAAAACCTCTGTCAAAAGTCGAAACCTCAAATCCTTCTGACAAAAGTCGAAACCCTCAAATCCTTCTGACAAAAGTCGAAACCCAAACTTAACTTGACAAAATCCTAGTACTCCTGCTAAAAAAAAAAAAAAGTAAAAATTACTAGTGAAATAATTGTCGGTGAAGTGAGCAGCACCGACTTTCTTTTTATTTATATTTAATGCTGAAGCTATTTATTGGCTTGACGTGGCTCATATATTTATTTAGTTTTTAAAAACAGAAATTATAAATGGGTAAATAAGCCATTAACACCTCTCGAATACTTAAATAAATATAAATATAGAGAATTAAATTATATAAATTTTCTGGTATTTTTCTTTTTTTTTTATTTATAAATTTTTTTTTTATTCAATGTTAAAATATTTTAAATTTTTAAATTTTAATTTGTACGTATAATCTAAAATATAAAGCACCAATAACATATTATAATTCATGTTTCTTATTAACTTCCCGGTAGGCCCTTTTTTATTGAGATCCGATCAATTCACTGACAATCGTCTCATAGACACCACATTTCACCACTAACAAGCTCATTTTACTGACAGCCTATTTCACTGAAGCTCATTTCAAAAAGTCTTGTTAGTAAAAGAGCTTCAGTAAAATAGATTGTCGGTAAAATGAACTTATCGTTAAATAATTGTCATGAAATGTGGTGCTATGAAGTGATTGTCAGTGAAGTAATACGGATCTCTTTTTATTAAGTTTTTTATTTAGATTAATTTAACTGGCAAGTATAACAATAATTAACAATAATTATAATCAAAGATCTGAAAATAATGCATGCACCTCTTATTAATTTTATTATCTACACTAATTTGTCTTTTATACAAGTCAATTTAGCCAATATACAATTATTATTTTTTAATCGAAATACTGAAATATGTAAAATAATTTGTTTATTATTAATTTCTTATTTGTGCTAATTTACTTAATTGATAAATCCCTTTTTATTAAGTTGTTTATTAAGCTTCTTATTAAAACTAATCTAAGTATAATTATATAGCCCTTTATGAACATAAAATGTAGAAAACCAAGGCGCCCTTACACTTGCTTATTATATAATAAAATTTTAGTAATTATTATAAATTATGTTTTCGTAATTTAATATTATCTTCATTAACATTTATATGCTTCATCATCTTCTATTAGTTCTGTCACCTTCGTAGTTTCGTCAGTTTCTTTACCTTTTGTCACCTTTCGCCAGTTTCAACACCTTTCGTCAGTTTTTGACACCTTTCGACAGTTCCGACATTTCGTCATTTGAGATTTTAATTGGTGAAAGTCGAAACTAGGTTTCGACTTTCGTCAGCGCGAAACATCTAACAATTATAATTAAAAGTAATATGTTTAAATGCCAAAAGACAATTACAATTATATAATTTTGTATGCTAAAATTTGCAATCTTATTTTGATAAATTCGGACCCTTGATTATAATATTTTTTAAAATTTTGGCCCTTAAATGTAATTATTTTCACTTTGGCCCTTATTTGTAATTATTTTCATTTTTCGGGTCCTTATATGTAAATTCCCCTAAATTTTACTAGTAAAATTATTTAATGGTTACATTATATTGCAGTTATAGGAATTTTTATTATTAGCTATTAAAAAAGGTCCCGTCTAGGAACTTTTCACCCACCTCGTCATACGAATGCTTTTGAAAATGATTCAATACATGCATACGTACGTACGTACGTACGTACAGTACGTCCCATTCTGTACTCCTGTTATATTTAATGTGTATCATAATAAATTATGATACGGTAAATCATTTCCACTTTAATGCTCGCATTAAGTTTCTAATTTTTCCGATATTCCGATATTCCGATCCCATGTTTATATATATATATCACTTGATTGAGAAGTTTTGTGATTAAGTCTCTGTACTTTTCAAGCGTTAATATACCAATTGCACCTTTCCCTTGGTAATAAACTGCTTCTATAGGTCATTCAAACTTTTTATGCCGACGTAAGTTCAATACCTTAGGTATACTTTCGAAATAACTGGCGCATACATAACGATTAAAAAACAAATTGATTTAAATTTATAAAAATCTTTATTGAATTGAACTTTCAGTTGACTTATTACACATAATTTTTTTACTGCTTAACAAACTTTAAAATCTAGCTTTAGAAGGTTAGATTTGAATTTTGAAATTTTAATTTTGTATTTAAATTCGAATTTAAAATTGCATATAATAATTTTGATTTTTTTCTTTAATTTCGAAACATACTTCCTGTCTCCTAAAAGAAATAGCATATCTTAGAATAAATTATTAGCCATATTTATATAATTGTTTCTTAAAGCTTACGTAAAGTAGGCTCTAGAGGTTAGGTTCAAAATTTGAAATTCTTTGGAGGCTTTTTCGTTTTTTTTTTTGTTTCTAATTTCAAAACCAACCCCTGCCCGCCTTAAAAAATTATCTTAGGAAAATCTTTAGGATAAGTGGAATCTAGCCACATAACGTGAGCATCTAATTTGACATTTCATTGTCACGTGACAGCTCACTTGCATAATCGAATGAATAATATAATTTTAAATAGTTCTCCAATGTTGCTACCTCGATTTGACTATTTGTCCCTGAGCTCATATTGTTGGAGCCAATTAAATCAGACTCGTGTGGTGCTGACTCTATAGATTATATAGAGAAGATAAGTGAAAATTTGCTTAATTTTCAAATAAAGACATGCATGAAAAAAATACTAATTAATTATATAGTATTTACCCAAAAGGTAGTTATGATATGAATTTTGATCTAATTTAAATAAGAATAATCAAATCAAAGCGATGTTAACATCAAAGAAACAACCAAACATTTTAAACAATGCTTAATTCTTGCAATGTATATACCATTTTCCAAGCCATCAAACTGTTGAACAGTCGATTGGTTTTGTTCTTTATTGGATTCTTCGGCTTTTTTCTCCAAATTTTTAAAATCTTCTTCCAACCTTTTAACATCCTCTTCCAACTTTTTAATCTTTTTACCATCTTCTTCATGCTGTTCTTTCAACTTTTTAACAATTGCTTCATTTTCTCCCAACTTTTTAAACAATAATTCCATTTCTTGTTTGTAACCGATATTACGGAAAACATTTACCGTATCGTTCTCATTCTCTTTGCATTTTGGGCATATTCCAGTAATAATAAGTTTCTTTTTACATACTTTGCAATGATTTGGAAGTTTGCAGATAATGTTTTTTCGTATACATTCGCTACACCCAACAAGAGGCTCCACACTTGAATCCCAACCGTGGCACTTTCTTCTTGAAATTTTACATGCTTCACAGATTACACTAGCACGAGTTCTTTTTTCTTTACTTGATTCAATGCACTCATGGGGTCTCTTTATTCCTCTTGGCTGAGCGTTCTCACTACATAAGTCTTTGGATGACATTATAATTTTATATAATTTGCTAAAATGAACGGGAAATAATTCTAATAACGGAGCAACAGTATAAAACTTGAACGAAATTTTTTCGCAAAAATGCCGTATAAGACAAGTTTTCTTTGATTCAAATTTTAGCGAAGCACAATATAAAATTTGATCGGTTTTTTTTCGCAAAAATGCCGTATAAGACAAGTTTTCTTTGATTCAAATTTTAGCAAAGCACAATATAAAATTTGAACGGGTTTTTTTCGCAAAAATGCCGTATAAGACAAGTTTTCTTTGATTCAAATTTTAGCGAAGCACAATATAAAATTTGATCGGTTTTTTTTCGCAAAAAAACCGTATAAGACAAATTTTCTTTGATTCAAATTTAACCATCAATATTGTTACTCGTTATAAAATTTATTAGATATTAGCAATGGCGGTGTGAGGGCGGTATATAACCTTTCCCGCCAATGCTAGTATTTAAAATGATGATCATATGCTTGTGTATGGTCATGCTGTTAAACGTTTGTTATTGTACTATCACATCCATTATTATATAATTTATCATATCAGGTGACTATTATTGCGGTAAAAAGTCGGTTAGAAATTGCTGGCGATAATTCTTGGAGTTTTCCGAACTTTGTACTTTTTGTGTGTTACATGCAAACTATTTCTTGCAGGTACGTAATGTAAAGGCAGCGTTGTACATTTGAAGTCCCTGAGCTTTTGTCTTATCCTGTTTCATCCCTATCCCGTCCTATCCTGGGACGTACCATCAATATCCTGATTTTTAGCTTATAAATTTATATTAAAAAAATAATAAATATATATGCAAAATTATATAAAAAAATATGTAAAATTAATTTTTTTTTTTTTTTTAAAAAAAAAAAAAGAATTGAAAGCAGGTTATCTTGGTAAAATTTTGAGCCATCGACATTTTTTAAGCTTCAGTTTTGGTCCTAATATTGTTAAAATTTATCCCATCTATCACATGTACAACACTGCGGAGAGGTACTAAAGTTATTAGGTGAAACTTAAGACTTTGATGTTTACAAAAGTCAAATATTACGGAAATTAGTTTCGATTTTCATCAGCTAAATTACAATAGAAAGGATTTTATGCATTATTAAAATATTCGAAGCTAATACAGTAATATAGTTGTCGAAATCGTAAAAGATAATTTTGACCTTCGACATAGTAATAAAATGGTCGAACTATTCAATACATATGGGTTATCCTACGTTGTTATGATGATCTGTGAATCCGAATTAGGAGATCGGTTAAAGCAGAGTGAATTTTGAAAAATCATCTAATTTAATGTTTATTAATTAATATTAGAGTTATGGCTATTTTGAGATTAGATTTAAGAATGTCTATATGAGAACCGCAGCAAAAGGAGGCAGTGGGCAAAAAATTTGATCTTGTACTTTTATAAAAATTGTATTTCTAATACTTTAATTCTTCAAGAAATTGAGTTTAAAAAAATTATTATTTTTTTTGCCCACTGTCTCCTTCTGCTGTGGGGGTCCCCATTTGTAATTTGCTTCTTCATCATTTTTTATTAATGTCCGAAGTAGGTCTAGGCTATTTTGTATTTTTGCTGATCTGAAAATTTACAATTTAATTAGTCGATTATCTGTCGAACATTAAAAATTCACTCCGCTTTATATCCGACTTAGGTATGTAGCCGTCGCACAAATCCGGTATTACCTAAAGTAGTATGGTACGAGGTATAATATAGTTGCGTAGTATATCAAAAATTAAAGCGTATACATATGCGTCGGATATACTAACATATAAATATATAATTATTTGTTTGAAACTATCTTACGGTTATTGTATATCACGTGTTTGCACAGATATTTATAAAAAATATTTACACTCGATAATTACATATTTAATATGTAAATTGTTTTTGCAAATATCAATTTAATGCAAATACAATATGCAATATTATATATTTTTATTATTTCATAGACTATTCAAGTTTATATACTTGTTCAAGTCCGTATTCACGCTCTTTGATAATATTGGCAATTTGCAATTCTCTTAGTTTTTCCTTTCTTCAATTAAAAGCATACGTTACTTATATTCCAATTTTTCCTTTGGTGCCATTAATGATTCTACTTTTTGTATCTGAAATAAGATCTAGACTACTTTCAGTTGATCTTTGTGATTTCTATATTTGGAAGTTTGTATAGAGCATTTTTTGTTGGGGTAATAGCTTTCGATTTCTTGTTAGCTATAAATTAAATTAACATATATTATTATGCAGCCATGGACAACTGCACTAAAAATTCTCATATTTTTGCATTTTATGTCATCACTGATTTATCTTCTTTTTTTTTTTTGGAGCTTAAATTTTAACAGAAATGAAAGGAAAAGGTTTAAATCGATGAAATAGATATACGAATATGAGAAAATAGTATACAGTAGCCGTCATAATTCCGTTATTGCGCAGTTGTAAAAAATATGCACGTGGGTGTTTAATGACGGCAGGTGATTGGCTTAGACCATGCCGCTTCGCGGTATGATCTGCGCCAATCACCTGCCGTCATTAAACACCCACGTGCATATTTTTTACAACTTGCACAATAACTATATATTATTATTATTAGAAAAATCTATTTGTAACAGCCTGTTACGTAACAGGTATTAATGTTTGGTTAGTGTTAGGGTTAGTGTTAGGGTTAGTGTTAAGGTTAGTGTTAAGGTAAGGTTTAGAATTAGTGTCAAGATTAATACAAAATTGCGAGAGGATCATTTTTCATTAGTGCCGCAAAAGGTTACCTTAGTAAAAGCTTGAGTTATAGCAAATTTAAAATATACCTGTTACGTAACAGGCTGTTACGAATAGATTTATTATCAGTCACACGATTTGTCACGCAGATCAGGGGGGTAAATTTTTTACTATGTGATTTGAGTGATCGACATTCATATGACCGGCTTTTTTTACATAGTAAATTGCAACGATAGGCTCTTTTCAAATACAATTTTCAGGGGTTTCCTAAAAGGAAATCATATTTGCGTACAAGGTACAGCTGTTTATTTTCATAAACACTCTTCGATTTTCTAAGTTTTAAGCGGAAAAATAATAAAGCTGAGAAGAATCATACCTTCAAAATAGGTGTTTCGTTTCATTTTTATGTATATAATATTTGTCTTATTTCGCTTTAAAAACTTTTTTTTTTAAAGTTTAACTTACTAAACCTCCTGACAATTATAAATTGCTAGATGTTGAATGAAGTTGCAAGTAATCATGAGGTGTTTAGTAGCTACGAGCTAAATTAGTATATTCGAATAAGTATTATTAGAACTTAAATGAGTTGAAGAAAACTATTATTGACAGCTAGTTTTTTAAATGAAATAGTTTTATGAGTTTTTGAGAATAGTTTTTTTTTAGACAAGTAGTTTTTTTAGACAAGTAGCTTTTTTAGACGAGTAGTTTTTTTTAGACGAGTGGTTTTTTAGACGAGTGGTTTTTTAGACGAGTAGTTTTTTAGACGAATAGTTTTTAGACTGTAATTTTTAGTCAAGTTGAAACTATATGGTTTAATTTAAT